GCGGGTGTGTTGATCCCCGGGTTGCCCACCAGAGGCAAAGGAAGGCAGGCAGGCAGGCAGGCAGGCAGGCAGGGGTCAGCAGAGCTCTCTCTCTCTCTCTCTCTCTCTCATCTTCTAGGGAAAGCTAGTAGATAAGGTATCAAATCAAGAAATATACTGAGAGAGGGAAAAAAAAAAAAAACGGTTTCCGGGGAAACAAACGGCTGGGGGACGGTATTAAAAAAAGCTTCGTTCAGCCACACCTTCTAGTATATATATGTATACGGGATACGTGTGATGTGGTCGCTTTCTCCCGGAGAGAATGGGACTTTCGCGTTCGCCCTGGTCCGTGGCTGGGTTCGGGGCCTGAGGATGAGCCTCGATTTAGATGTGGCGTCGCAATGATCTCGCGGCTTCGACTGCGACAACCTTTCTCATCTCTGCCTCTCTATATACAAAGCTTGAACCTATTTCAAGACCTCGCTCTGATGCCGCGACACTTGGATTCCGTGATCTTACACTGCACCATGATTGGATATGGGTAGAGCAACGGAGTTCGTAGTAGTCGTTTGAAAAGATCGAGAGCTGTCTTTACGACGCAGAGCAAAAGTCCAGAATTTTAACAAGATCGAGTACGGATGGAAGCAGGCACCCGGTACTTATGGGTATGGAAAATCCGAACCTTTGCATTTATTCATGCCTCCTCCCTGTGCTGCTCAATAACTTTCTGCAACATGGCAATAGCCTGCTGGGCATCCACCCGCCCATCCTCATCCAGCCGCATCATCTTGCCCAGCAGGAAGTTAATCTTGCCCGTCTTTCCCGCCAAGATTTCGCCCACGATCTTCTGATCCAGTACGCTCTTGGCCATCTCCTCCAACTCTTCATCCGACATTGCCTTGAACCACAAGCCTTCCCTTTCAATGACCGCAGACGCACTCTCGTCGTTGCCCTTGAGCCCGTTCAGGAAGAGCTGGGACAAGACGTGCTTAGCAGTCTTGCCTGTTATCATTTTGCCATCTAGATAGCGGAGGAGTTGTGCGAGGCTGGCATGCGGGATGATGCAGGAGCCCTCGTTGGTCATGCGAAGGGGATTTTCTTCAGCGGAGGTGGGGTGCATGAGGCCACCCATTTCATGCAGAACCCAGTTGCCGCAGAAGCGGCCCACGACCTTCATGTCTTCGCCAGGTTGAATATATTCTTCTACTAGGTTGCGGAAATATTCTACTCGGCCGCCGTCGTTGAGTGAGACCATCGACATTGCGTCTTTGACTGTGAGGCCGTATTGCTCGACAAGGATATTGATCTCTTCGTCTGGGAGAACGCCTAGTGTGGCTCCGAGGTGATCGAGGAGATCTTGCCCGATGACCACAGGACCGAGATCTGGATCTGGCATGTAGCGGTAGTCGACTTCTCCTTCCTTTCCTCGTAGACGCTTGGTCTCGGTGCTCCCGATTGTCCATCCTCGGGTCTCCCCTTCGATGACACCTCCATGTTCGAGGACGGCGATTTGTCGATCCCGCTCCGCAGTGATGGCATCCTCGACTGCTTTGAAGCTGCTCAGATTCTTAATCTCGGTCCTCTGGCCAAGCCCTTTGACGCCAGCGTATTCATGCGGTTCCTCCGAATTACGTCTCCGTACGGAGACATTCACATCGGCTCGGAGGCCACCGGATTGCATACCCAGAACACAAGCATCCACTGCACTCAGTAGTATCTGCACCTTGCGGACCAGCGCAGCAGCCGTGCTCGGATGGTGTATCTGAGGCAATGTGATAATCTCGATCAAGGGTAGCCCTACTCTGTTGAAGTCCAGCAAATGTATATCTCCAGGCTGTGAGATGGTCTTTGCCGTGTCTTGCTCCAGCTGTACTTGCTTGATACCGATCCGGATCTGCTCCCCATCCTCCTTTGCAATGCCATCGTGTGCATACAGCGTGATGTGTCCATCTTTCGCGAACGGCTCGTAGTACTGCGTGATCTGGTACCCGGACGGCTGATCCCAATGAAAGTAATGCTTTCGATCGAATCGACTCGTTTTCTGTACGTCGCAGTTCAAAGCGAGTGCGGCTCGCAGAGCGGGTATGAGAGTTTCCTTCTGGAAGGTAGGCTGGGAGCCGGGCATGGCCACATCGAAGAGTGCGACGTGGGTATTCGGTACATCGTTGATGGTGGATGCGGCAGACGAGAAGAGCTTTCGTTCGGTGTTGAGCTGGGCGTGTATTTCGATTCCCACTGTCAACTCCCACTCGTCTAGAGACTGATTGTGCTTGTCCGATTTCTTCCCGCCATCAGCCTTGCGCTTTCTGGCCTCGTCTTTCAATTGCTTTCGGAATGCGACTGGGGGATCAGGGTCTGCGAGGGTCGGATCTGTGGTTGCTTGTGTGGTATGATTTCTCTGGGAGTACACAGATGATATGGTCTGCCGGGCATGCCTCTGTCTCAGACATCCACGAGACGGAAGCTGGGCTGCGAAGAGATACCTGCGCAAAACCGCCGGGGGAATGCGTGCCATTGGGTTGGTTATTTGGGTTCAGGTTCAGATCTGATCGGATTCGAAGATAGTTGGGGAGACGCGAGATGACGGCCGTGGAAGGATGAGAAGACGAAGATCGTAGTGAGTTGAGCTTAAGCAGACGAAATATTTGCGCAAGGAAATGCGGCTCGGTTGCAGTATTTCGCGACGGCGTCTCTTCGGCCCGGGCCGGCCCGTTCCACGCCGCTTCTTTAATATTATTCTAACATTATCATTCTTATATATGATTATATCTACTGAATATATATGTACATCACTAATATGTGTCTGTCACCAAGATCTTGGTCGCCGAGCTCAACTAAAGCTACCTCTATACAGATCCCGGCCGCCGCAGATCACATTGCTTAATTATACTTATACTGGGATCTCGCGCCCAAGGTACGGCCCGCTCAGAGACCCCGACTCAGGGTACTGTACTTGTACCCCTCCAAACACACCTGACATGGCTGATCAGACGACAGCAAGCGTCATCACATATATCACATATACACCCCCTTCCTCCCTCCCTCTCCCTCCTTGCCTTCTACACACATCTCCCACATCTCCCACTGCATCGACAATGAACATCCCCATCCCCATCCTCATCCCCATCCCCATTCTCGCATCACTCCAAGAACTCCAAGAATGCACCTCTGGCTCGCATCAACAACTCTCCGACTCACCGCCACCCCCAGATCCCGCGACTAAGTCCAGGGACGCCTGCAGCTATCATCTGAAGTCTGTTCGCCCTTCCTACTTTTGGAATGCGAGGCTGACAAGGGCCAGATTACGCACCACATCCCACAATGACTACAAACTACAGCATTCCATCTGTCGAATCCATTCTCGAAGTCGCTTCCGAAGATGAAGCAGGAGAAAAGGCCAGGAACAAGGACTTGGTAGCTGCCAAAAACAAACGCCGTCGCCCGAGATCCGAGCACACAACTATGAAAGCAGACCTTGGTAAGGAGAGGGAAAGGTCGACGCGGAGGCTCAAACCTGGGGGTAAACACTCCAAGGGTAAACCGAAGAAAACTAAAGTCAAGAAGGTAGGTGGACCTTCAAGAGACTATGGCCGTGAGGAGTCAAGAATGAGGCATCGACGTGGGCCCTCACATCGAAACTCAGGTTCTACGTCCTCGTCGCCGGATGAGGAAGAGACAGTGCTGGATCACAGGGCTGTGTTGGCAGCCAAGTCTCGATTGACGTCACCCTCAATGGTGTCGATATTTACGACGCAAACGACTGCTACCAATAAGTCACATTCATCGAGTGGGAGCAATTCCACAATCACGCAAGCATCAGTCACGAGAAGGGCGGCCGTTGAAAAGAAGCCAGAGGTAAAAGAAGCGGGAGAACAGCCAACGTCATCGTCGATGCCTGAGTCTCCCAACGTCTCCCAGTCCTTGGAAGACGGTAATCCTCCAAAAGCTGAAGCTGGGGACGACGAGGACGAAGAGGACGACGACGATGAGAGTGAAGACGAAGAAGAGACACCTCAATGGCAGCCAAAGCGAACAGAGGGTGAGGGTGCATACGTCGAATCCGCACCTCCTCACCAACAACATATCAGTACATCATCCTCAGCATCAAGCAGCTTTCACGAAGAGGACAGTTTCTCCGAGCCTGCAGCAGACAACGAAACCGATCGAAGCAGTAGCCCAGAGAGAAGTGAGCGCAGTCATGACGAGACCCTACACGCTCCCACATCATCAGATCAAGCATCAGCTAAGGTAAAATCTCAACTAGCAGCAGCCCAACAACGGCAGCACACCCACGTCTCGATGCAGCAACTCGGTAACCCGAGCATGCCCCGTGGCAATGTTCCACGCATTTCTACATCAAATCTGAGTAGCAGATCTCAACACCAGGCTCAGATGCAATACCGGCCTCTTCCACGCGTGGAAAGGCTCCCAGCTACCGGGTACGAACTGTTGGCATCAATGCTCTCCGAATTCAGCGCCAGCGAAAGTGGTCCAAGAATCAAACCTATTTATCGCAAATTCTCGGCTCTGAATCATCGGCTCCTGCTGCATCTGCAAGACGAGCTAAGCGAGCTCGAAGAGCAGCTCCGCCAGTTGGATCACGCAGACACACAGGCCAGAGTCGTTGACATTCACGGTCATATTGTGCCTGCGTCGAGAAGATTGGCGGCACAGGCTGGTGGAGAACTGCAGTGGCATAAGACGGATATCTTGGGGAGGATTGGGTACAAGCTGGAGCAGTACAGTATTGCCTCCAATATCCACACACCCGAGAGATCGTACTAACTACAAACAAAGACCACGTCCTATCCTCCTTCAAAAGCACTCAGTCCCTGGCTCATCCAGACCCAGAGGACATCGAGCTATACCGCGCGTATCTCCAAACCGAACAGCCCATCGCAGAACCCGAAACGCATTTCCTCGATCCAGCCGACGACCTCGTCTCTATCACCTCTGACCCGCCTCACTCCTTCGCTTCCCCCTCTTTGACTTCATCCCTCTCATCTCGCTCGCTGCCCTCTTCCTCTCCCGGCTCGCCCCTCCTCCAAACCCGCCAACCAAGCATGGATCTGCAACCCGTCCTCCCCGGGGTCGCATCTGCCCTCGCCATTGCCGTACTGGTTCCGATTTTAATGTTCTCGGTAATTCCAGGCTTCGTGGGACGCGTGACCGTCGCGGCTCTCGTCGGAGTTTTCATGGTGGGCGCGCTGGTCCAGAGCGGTATTGTGGATAGGGGGTGGATGGTAAAGAGGGAGGGGTTTAGTTGTGTAGGCTGTTATTTAGGAGTTATGGTTGTTCTGGCCGGCGTAGTTTGATCTTATGACATTTGATCTAGTTTCGTGCTGCTCGTTGCTGACTCTTTATCGCTTATACGATTGCGTGTTGGAAATGTATATTACAGGAATTATTAGAGTATAAGGATAAACGGGACAGAGATAAGGAGCTAATTAGGATTGGGTATGGAAAGGGGTTTGGGCTGGATTGGATTGGAATAGATCTACTTGGATAGAATAGGATAGGACTAGATTTAGCTAACCGGCATGGACTTGATTTAAATTGAGTTGCTCTTGCTGGATCGGGAAAGCATTGGTAATTAACAGCAGTTGAATGGATTAACTTGCTTGTATATATTAAACAGACCAAAGCCGTCACATGAATCGGGAGTCGATTTATGAACTGTATTAGTATGAATATATTAATTCCTCGGAATCCATTAAATAACCTCGATTTTGGTTTTTCATAACCTCTTAATCGTACCCTTGGTCGGCGTACAAGTCAGAGGCAAGGGTTGCGGTTCCTAGTACTTTTCAGCGATACTGTCAACTCTTTGGCCCCCTCCCTTTTTCTTTTTTTTTTTTTTGTGACTGCTATGTAAATTTCCAATGTTTTTCTTGCTAATCGTCGGTGACCTTGAATTTAATATGTAAAAAATCCCGACCTGCTACAGCAAGTCGGTCAATTCTTTCGAATTAAAATTTTAAGGAAACCGACGATTAACATGAAAATGAATTTGAAAATGTAATATGAAAATGTGATATTGGGTTTTTCTCAATATCAGACCTACTTCGAAAAAAAAATAAAAAATAATAGTGAGTCAATGGAGTTTCGGAACGCAAAGCCATTAATTATATTTGTATTTTCAACCTCGTTGGCGGCGGCGGCGCTCGGTAAAGAACAAGCTGCTTAGTAAGGAATCTGCTGCTTGGTGAGGCAAGGGGATGGAAAGCTTACTAAGAAGAATCCGCTGCTTGGTACGTAAGGAAGAGGCTGCTTAGTGAGGAATCGGCTGCTTGATAGAGAACAAGCTGCAGAGTAAGGAGTCTGCTGCTTAGTAAAGCAAAGGAATACCGGTAGAGAACTCACTAAAAAGAATCCGCTGCTTAGTAAAAAAGAGGCTGCTTAATAAGGAAATAATAGGCTGCTTGATAAGGAAGATATAAGGTTCACCATGATAGGGAATCATTATGCGAGGCTCCGATGATGCTCCGTTGGTATTCAGACTGATCTCTAGCCTTCTAAACCCCTGAACTCCAAGGAACCACTGGGAAATAAGGCCAGTATCGTGCACGTGACCGAGCCAAGCCCGCAAAGCGCCCGAGTACCTATACCGGTACTCTACTCTTTATTTATAAAAACGATAGTATTCCAAAAACGAGTTTTTACGTATTTTTTGTTCATTTCTTTTTCAAAATGATTAGCAAACTGTCTTGAATATTGAAACCGAGCTTTTTGATAAGCTCGTTCTGAAAATCTCAACAAGGACGGCCATCGGAAGGCTACGAAATGGTCTCTTTTAACAAGACGTTCATCTCGGTAAATTATTTTTACCTAAATAAAGCTTAGTACTGAATTTCAACGGTCTAATAGCCGCCGTCTCTTATAAAAGAGGATCAGAGGACCATTCAAATGACCCCCCACGACCCTTTAAGGTAACCGTGCGCTACTTAATAAGGCAAGCTGTCGGCGGCTCTTACGTAGTAGTTACTCGTTCCATCGCGTGCGCTACACCGACTTTTATAACACACCGACTTTTTTTTTAAACTGATTCGGTACGTCAAAATTGCTAGCAACGCTTACTAAAAAAAAAAATGTCTACAATTCATTATTAAAGCTAAATAATTTTTCTTATAGCTATATCTATACAATTAGAAACCTGAATCATCTGCTTCGTAAGCTTCGCAATGCAGCTTGGTTGCGCGCTCTTTCGAAAAGGAAGGAGATCGTATTCGGAGCGATCAGAATAAAGAGAAATACTACGATTACGAGGCAAACCGCGCTTCGCGGATAGAAATAATAATGGCAATGACGTAAAATCAGAGCGCTTAAAGGCGTGGTGTGTATGGATACTACGCAGATTCGATATATTGAAGTTTTATTTGCAAATTTAAGATGGCGACGGTGCTGTTAAGTTCGGCTTTACCTTTCTCTGATAAATTTCAATAGCGCGGGTAGGAATTAAAATGTGTTTTAAAAGTCGGTGTGTATTGAAAGTCGGTGTAGCGCACCCGATGGAACGAGTAACTGAGAGCAGCCGACAGCTTGCCTTATTAGCGCACGGCTACTTAACCTCCTTTCCTTATCGATTTTCTTAAGTAAAATAGATACACTTGACGAAATATAGATAAAGAACTCCATATCACCTTTAAATTCCTTTTTTTTTTTTCAAAACTAATCGCTAGCCGTATTAGCACCAAGTTGTATATATACGTATATATATCTTTGTTTCTTTAAAATTTCTAACTTAGATTGATAGATAAAAAGTGAGCTAATGGTTATGGTAAATTTATAATATTTATTAAGTATCGTTTGCTATTTCTACTTTATGCTTTTCGAGATAATCGTCGGCTCGCTTAGGTGGGCCTCCTTACAGCCTTTTAAGACTGAAAGGCTGTAAGGAGGCCCACCTAAGCGAGCCGACGATTACTCTTCATACATCGAATCGTCAATTGGAAAATAGCAGTCGAACACGCTATTAATTTCTTCTCATTATCGTACTTCAATATTTAATACCCATCGTTATTTACATCAATTTTGAAACTGAATAATAAATATTATAAATAGCATATACTTCTTTACGCAAGCGTGCGTTTTGTATATACGATAGTGGTTTGTTTAAGCCTTATTTATAATCTATGGTCTTCTCGGCCTTTAAATCTTGCATTAAATTAACGAAGAAAGACGACGACGAATTTAGCAGCAATTGTACTCGGTTCAATATAAGGATTAGATGTCCCGAAAACAATAGCTCTAGCAATTTTATCTTCCGTATCGGCATCAAGTTTAATTGTAGTATTGTTGGTTAATAGCGTACAGAATAAAAATCATGAAAAAAATCTATCGTATCGCTGAAGTGTACTAGGAACCGCATTCCTGCCTCTTTCAAGAAGTCATGTAAGTAATCGTCTTTGTCTTATACCACTCGTCTATGCCTTGCGACCCGAAGCGTCCCCACCCGCTAGCCTTGACGCCCCCGTGCGGCAGCGCTGGCTCGTCGTGAACCGACATGGCGTTGATATGCACGGCACCGGACTCGATCCTCTTCGCCACACGAAGGCCCGCCAGGAGATCTCGGGTAAAGATGGACGAGCTGAGGCCGTACTCGGTGTCGTTCGCCAACTGAATAGCCGCCTCCTCGTCCTCGACCTCGATCAGCGAGACGGTCGGCCCGAAGGATTCCGTGTAGTAGATGTCCATCTCTTTCGTAACGCCCTTGACGACCACAGGCCGCATGAGCACCGGTGCAGCCTCCGCGGCGTTGACGTCCCCGAAGATGACCTCCCCGCCTTTGCGCTGGGCGTCCGCGACCAGGGCCTTGTTCTTCTTGACGCCGGCCTCGCTGATCAGGACCAGGGCATCGCCCTTAGAGGGGAAGATGGCCTCGATGGTCCCCTTGAGCACCTCGGCGAACTTGTCCGTGATGCCTTTGACGACGATGATCCGCTCGGTCGCCATGCAGATCTGGCCGCTGTGCAGGAACGCCCCGACGGCGCATTCCCTCGCGGCCAGCTCCAGATCCGCGTCGGGCAGCACGATGGCGGGCGCCTTGCCACCTAGCTCCATCAGCATGGGCTTCAGGTTCTTGCCAGCGAGCTCGGCCACGATGCGGCCTACGACGGCGGAGCCCGTGAAGTTGATCTTGCGAACGGCGGGGTGCTCGATGATGGCTCTAGTAACGGCGGCGGCGTCCGAGGGGTGCGTTTGGATTATGTTAAGAACGCCGTCGGGAAGGCCTGCGTCGCGAAACACCTGGCCGAGTATGCCCATGGACTGAGGAGCCAGTTCCGAGACTTTGATGACGGCCGTGTTACCCGCTGCTATGGCAAAAGAGAACGATCGGAGACCGAGGATATAAGGTGAGTTCCTGAGATCCCAGATCTGTCAGCCACCCGGCCTTTCTCCTTTTTTGTTTTGCTTCTATTTTGTACTGCGGGCGGGAGGAGGAGGAGGAGACGACTCACCAAGGTGCCACGCCCAGAATCACACCAAACGGCTCTTTCAGCACCAGCGCCTCCTTCTTGGGATTGCTCAGCGAAGGAATGCTCCCCCAGACGGACCCGATCACGCCCGCAACGCTCCTGAGTCCTGCAATTGCATTCGGCACATCGAAGCCGCCTGCGAAGCTGGGACGGGCGCTGATCTCCGCCTCTTCGACTTTCCCGGCCTCCTCGAGTCGCGCCTCGAGGAGGTCGGCGGCCTTGTAAAAGATCTTGCGTTTGGCATCGGGAGTGGTCGCAGCCCACGCTGGGAATGCGGCCTGCGCAGCTTCTACGGCAGCGATGGCGTCCGCGACACCAGCTGCCGCAGCACGGTGGATGACTTGGCCGGTGGAGGGGCTGGTGACATCGATGGTCTTGGATGTGGTAACATCTCTGCCGTTGATGAAGAGGGGAACGGTGAGCATGATGATGATGATGATGATGATGAGGGAGGTGGTGGTGGTGATGTTGAGGGTATTGTTGATGGGATGGTGTTGACGTCGTTGCTGTTCACTCACGGTAGAAGAAGAAGAAGAAGAAGAAGATGAAGAAGATGAAGAAGAAGGAGAAGGAGAAGGAGAAGGAGAAGGAGAAGAAGGAGAAGCTGGAGATGAGATGCTATGCGGGCTATCCCCAGTGAGGGGAACAAGTCGGTCGGGAAATCTTATCTTCCATCTCCCGGGAACTCTCAGCGGACTATTGTCCGCCAACTGCTGCTATCCTCTTCGGATGTGGGCATTGGGCAGCGGCATACCTATTTCCTCGTGATCTTCACGCCTGTACTCTCTACCAGAATAGGTGAGGGGCGCGGGGTGCGGGGATTATTGATGAGGGTGAGGGTGAAGAGCTTGAATTTTGGATTCAGCCCTTGGCTCTGGGGGTCTGAACCGCTCTCTAGCGTCGGGACTGGGTCACGAGGCCCGGCTCGGGGGCTCAGACAAGTCACTCAACAAGACTCAATAGGACTCAACAAGGTCAGGGCGGCGGACGGGGGGAAGGATGAGGCTAGGAAAGGTGGTGTTGGAGTCTTGGAGAAGAAGAGAAGAGGAAGAAGAGGAGATCAAACCGTTACTCAGCAGCAGGGTGGGGGGAATATGACGAAATTTGCGGGGGAGCTGGGGGAGGTGGGGGAGGTGCACCTGACCTCCAGCCCCACCTTCCATTCCAATCTCGAATTATGCTCAACCGTCTGCATCCTTCTCGCAGACTCACACACACACATCTACTAGGTACCGGTACCGGTACCGATCTGTGATCTGTGACTCTCTCCTGTACTCCGTATGTTGGAGAGTTTGAATCCCTTCGCCAGCCCCGTCCCGGCATTGGCCCACAGCGAAGTATCAGAGCTGCGCATCTATCCCATAAAATCATGCCGCGGTATCTCGGTCAAGAAAGCCTACGTCACACCACAAGGGCTGGATATGGATCGCCGGTGGATGTTTGTTGATGCTGAGACGATGAAGTCCGTGCAGCTTATAATACCCGTTTTATTATCTACATCCCAACATCAACCGTACATGCTGCCTCTTCAACGCTGACTCGGAGCTGTGATAGATTCATCACGATCCGCGACATCTCGGAAATGACCCTCATCGACACTTCCTTCGCATTCCCTGGCTCGCCTGGTGCCGAACAGCTCGTAATCTCGATCCGGAACACCAATAAGAGGGTCACCCTACCCGCGCGCCCAACTCCATCTTGGCTCGAGCAGAACACCACTCTCTGCACGGTAAATATCTGGGAAAGCGACACGGACGGCTACGTCTACGGCTCATCGATAAACGACACGTTTACCGAGTTCTTCCATAAGCCCGTGAAGCTCGTCTACAAGGGTCCCACGCCGAGGATCTTACGAGGGAACGGGGCTCCGGAGCAGCTGGGCCGAGTAGAGAGCACGAATTTCCCGGACGTCCTCCCGGTGCTTGTTGCGAACGAGGCGAGTCTGCAGGAGCTGAATGGGAGACTGAGGGGGAAAGGGCACGAGGAGATTACCATGGAGAGGTTCAGGCCGAATATCGTCGTTCGCGGAGCGTCTCCTGCGTCCTCGTGCACGGGAGCACCAGCGCCGTGGTCGGAAGATACTTGGAAGACGATCCGCTTGTGCTCACGAGATGAAAAGCCTAAGACGCGAGTCTCTTCGATGTTTGGAGGCGGTGCGACTGCATTATTGGATATTGATATACAGGCCCGATGCGCGCGATGCCAAGTCCCGAATGTGGATCCGGAGACTGCGGTGAAAGATAGGAAGGAGCCGTGGGATACGCTGGTTAGTTACCGGCGCGTCGATCCAGGGATCAAATGGAAGCCTTGTTTTGGGATGCTGGGATGTCCGCGAAGCGAAGGTGAGGTGAGCGTCGGGGATGGGTTTGAAGTGCTGGGTGAAGTGAAGGGGGAACATGTCTATATGAAAGGCTTTTAAGGGACTTAAGCGAGGTCAGCTACGATGTTCGATCCAAGGTTTCGCTCGGCGGCTACTTTGTACGAATCTGACATTGCCAATTCGAAAAAACTCACACCGAACACCAGACTCCACGCCCGCGCCCTGCATCCCATGTCTAAGCGATACCTTCAGGACCGGCATAGCGACAGCTTCTGGTGCCCTTTCTTCCTCCATCTCGAAAACTTCTGGGACAACCAAAGACTCGGACACCTTTTCACTCTCGACTATATGCACCGGAGCTGCGGGTACCTATTCATTCTTGAGCTGCAAATATTCCCAACAAACTACACGCCATTAGCCTCTTGCATTCATTACTCCTCCTCTACTCCCGGACAGACAAACTTACTCGCATGTCCCTAATCATCCCAAGTCATCTATAAACACTGTCTGCGTCATCTCGCTCGCCGTCACGTCAGTTCCCTCCCGATAAGACACAGCTTTCTTACCGAGCGCCAACGATAGATGGCTTGACTTCTGGGTACTCGAGCGGAGTTGTCGGGGTGCTGAAGAGCTGTTGCAGGATGAGAAGGTGGATGGCGGCGGCGCAGCGCTTGATGCCCGACCCCAACGCTACATCGCCGCAGGCAGAGTGGGAGGGCGAGGTCAGAGGGCCCGTCTCGAAGCTCAAGCTGGTCACACACGCACGTGTCAGTCAGTACCCGCTAGCAAGCGAGGGGTTTCCTGGTGATGATGGATGGATGAGATAGATAGGTGGATAAAGAGCAATCGGCATACTCCTTATCGACTTTCACGTATCCCTCTTCTCTTTCCAGCGAGGAACTACCTTGAGGGAATCGCTGTCGCAATCGCTCCGATCACGCTCCTAGCCAAAATGTGGCTGCTATCTTTAAGCGTTAATCTAAATCTCGGAGTGCAAGGGATCGAGAGATAATATAAAGCGAGATATTTGCTTCTTGATATCAGCTTTCAAATAAGTCCAAGACGGTCTTAAGACAATGACGGTCTTAAGATAAGAAATGTCTTTAAAGGGAGACGGTCATTTTACGAAAAGACGGACTTTAATAAAATAATGATTGGATCGGTTAAAACGGTTTTATTTCGGCTACAATGTCAATGATTTAAACCGTTATTTATTAAAAGCAGTTTTATTTCAGATCTTAACAACGAATACTCTATTGACCGTTTTAAAAGCCAAGGGCCATTTTTAAAAGAGACGATCCGATGACGATCCGTAGACCGTCTAAATAATCTATTACCTGCTTTTGGAGTATCTTTTTTGCTACCTAAGGTAGGTATAGCAGAAGAAGAGCAGGGTGCACGGGCCACATGCCTTGGCACTGGTTCCTATTACAACCTCATCCCAATTCCTAGTTCTAGATGGTACAAGTTAAGTCAATCATAACCACACTCATCAGAACTGCTTCCTCCTATGACCTAGTATTATCACTAGATAAGGACTAGCAATAATCTTTAATCTTTCTTTCTCTCTCTTCCTTTTTTTGTTTTTTTTCTTTCCTTTTCTTTTTTCTCCCTTTTCTCTCTTCTCTCTTCTTCCTTTCTAATAAGAAACTATGAGATCGATAGCCGGGAAAGATAGATAGGTGCACGCACACGAAGTGCAAACCCTCGAGTTCCGGATCCGAGCCCAGGAAATAATTGTATGTATAAAACGGAGTGAAAGTTTTCCCTCGTTAAGAGACGTGAAGCTTTCATATAGTATACGGAGTTTATCAAACTTATATATATATATATAAACATATGTATGTATGTATTATAGAGGGAAGAGCTCTAGCATATACCTGACTGCGAATTAAAGAGATATATAAATATATATTCAAAGGGAAGTCGCGGGTGGAGAGGAGGAAGAAGAATGGAGGACGTTCGTAGGATACTCGGATATATGTTATATATTATGTTATATGTATTATAGATGATAATCGATGATGGTTCAGAGAGGAACCAGCTACTCTTTTATATGGGCGTATATACGTGACCTAGCTACGTGCCTAATGGAGCAGAAGCATGTGATAATGGGCCTGATATGAGGCCTGATACAGGGCCAAAAATAGGTCGGGAACGCGATCTCCACTGCAATATATATATATATATATATATATTTGATCCAAGATCGAGAGGGGGGTTCTTTTTTCTCTTCTTTTTTCCCCTTCTATAGGTTGACAGATTGTACTTGTATCTAGAGTATAAGAGATCTTACTTTATACGATAATTACTTCGTAGGCTTGCTTTTATCTACCTTCCTTTTTTGTTTTGTTTTTTTAAGTAGCTTTTAGCTTTTCTATCACTTACGAAGTGATATATGATGAATGAATGAATGAATAAGTCAAAAAAAAAAAAAGCGAGGAAGTAATATATTATTATTATTATTATCATATTTATTAACCTCGAGCGGATAGCAAG